ACTAGTTTAATATTATTTTAGTTAGTTCATTTGTGAGTACTTATTAGGGACTGACTTACTAACTGAGTTACTTGTTAAATAATTTCCAAGTCTAATTTTTGTAACTTAATAACTAATAAATGAAGCTTACTTAAATGAATTACTAATTGTGACTTACTAACTAGCTAAGGTAACTTGCTTATATGACTTACTATGTGGCTGTGACTTACTAACTTTCTATGTGAATGTGACTTACTAACTTACTATGTGACTGTTACTTACTAACTAATTCCTAATTGACTTAATAACTAACTAATGTGACTTACTTATATGACTTACTAACTGTGACTTGTTATTAACTTGTGTTATTTACTAACAATTTGACTGTCTTATGCTTACTAATGTGAATGTGACTTACTTACTATGTGATTGAAACTTACTAACTAATTGCTAATTGACTTAATAACTAACTAATGTGACTTACTAATTGTGACTTGTTATTAACTTGTGTTATTTACCAACAATGTGACTACCTTATGCTCCTAGCATGAGGAATATATGTTGTTGAATTGTAGTAACAATAGGAAATAAATAAGTATTAGGTCACATTAGTAAGCATAAGGCAGTGACATAGTAAGTAGTCACATTAGGACTAAAGTAAGTTAATTAGTCATTAAGTCACATTTAGTAAGACATATAAGTAAGTCACAATCACATTAGTAAGCATAAGGCAATCACATTGTTAGTAAATAACACAAGTTAATTAGTCATTAAGTCACATTAGGATTAAAGTAAGTTAATTAGTCATTAAGTCACATTTAGTAAGACATATAATTAAGTCACAGTCACATTAGTAAGCATAAGGCAGTCACATTGTTAGTAAATAACACAAATTAATTAGTCATTAAGTCACATTAGGATTAAAGTAAGTTAATTAGTCATTAAGTCACATTTAGTAAGACATATAAGTAAGTCAAAGTCACATTAGTAAGAATAAGGCAGTCACATTGTTAGTAAATAACACAAATTAATTAGTCATTAAGTCACATTTAGTAAGTACATATAAGTAAGTCAAAGTCACATTAGTAAGAATAAGGCAGTCACATTTTTAGTAAATAACACAAATTAATTAGTCATTAAGTCACATTTAGTAAGTACATATAAGTAAGTCAAAGTCACATTAGTAAGAATAAGGCAGTCACATTGTTAGTAAATAACACAAATTAATAACAAGTCACAGTTAGTAAGTCATATAAGTAAGTCACATTAGTTAGTTATTAAGTCAATTAGGAATTAGTTAGTAAGTAACAGTCACATAGTAAGTAAGTCACAGTCACATTAGTAAGCATAAGACAGTCACATTGTTAGTAAATAACACAAGTTAATAACAAGTCACAGTTAGTAAGTCATATAAGTAAGTCACATTAGTTAGTTATTAAGTCAATTAGGAATTAGTTAGTAAGTAACAATCACATAGTAAGTAAGTCACAGTCACATTAGTAAGCATAAGGCAGTCACATTGTTAATAAATAACACAAGTTAATAACAAGTCACAGTTAGTAAGTCATATAAGTAAGTCACATTAGTTAGTTATTAAGTCAATTAGGAATTAGTTAGTAAGTAACAGTCACATAGTAAGTTAGTAAGTCACAGTCACATAGAAAGTTAATAAGTCACAGCCACATAGTCAGTCATATAAGCAAGTTACCTTAGTTAGTTAGTAAGTCACAGTTAGTAATTCATTTAAGTAAGCTGCATTTATTAGTTATTAAGTTACAAAAATTAGACTTAAAAATTATTTAACAAGTAACTCAGTTAGTAAGTCAATCCCTTATAAGTACTCACAAATGAACTAACTAAAATAATATTAAACTAGTTAACAATTAAACAAGTGGTCCTACAGTTAGAATGAAATTAATAACAACTATCAATTATTTCTTATGGACCTACAACATAAAGGCATGAAGAAAGGGCATAAAGACAAACAAACAAAAAGCATCTAAACACAAGGGAGACAAAAGGAACAGAAAATGAAGAGAAAATGACACTACCAACCCAACACATCTAAATACAAACAAAAAAAAACAATTCTTTAACATAAAGCCTAACAAACCGCATAAAAAGACTAAGACTCTAAAGTGAAACCCTGAAAGTGAACAAACCCCCTATATTTTCACTATAAAAAAGTGTATTCTAGATACAAATCGGGGTACCTCCGACCGGATCTCAGTGATATGAAGAACACACGATGGAATCAACGAAGACGCGGTGAAATCGACCAACAAACTATGGAATCACGAACTTTACTGATGGAGGCTAGGGTTTGTGAGATAGGAAAGTGACTTAGAATATTTGGGTCTTTTAATTTTGACTTAGGATGTTTTAGATACAAATCGGGTGGGTATTGGGTTTATGGGGCGGGTTCTTAGTTTATGGGTTAAAAGCAATGGAAAAACAGGTAGTTGCTTAGGCTTTAAACACGTGTACAGAATGCGGGTGCCGTTAGTGAGAGGGACATATGTGCACCGATAATTGGACGGCAGGGGCTGAGATGGACGCAAAGTATAACAGAGGGCATAGACGTACTATTTATCAAAGTTCGGGGGTATATTTGTCCTTTTTGCCTTTAAAAAAACATTATTAGAAAAGAATGTGTTAAAAAGAAAATAAATAATATATTTATTTGGAAAATGAGCATTTTTGACCTGTTAAATAACAATAAGGACATTTTTAGATCAAAGTATTGATGACAAGGGCATTTTTGGAGAAAACTACAAACGGAGGGCATTTTTGGAGCAAACTACAAACGGAGGGCATTTTTTGAACCAAAGTATTGACGATAAGGGCATTTTTTAGCCAAAGTATAAATGGAGGGCATTTTTGTTCCTTTCACATGGTCTAAAGGGCATTTTGACCCTTTTCCCTTTAATTATTTCCATAAAAGTAGAATTTGAATCTCATGCTAAGGTGTTTGAAATTTCTCCAATATATAGAGAGGTGAATTTTGTTCTTTTGACACAACATTATTATCAATATTATTGGGTGTTATTTTCTTTACACCTTTGTGTATTGGCTACTAGGTATTTATCCTACAACCTTACAATAATGATTTCTATTAAAAATTAAGATTAATTCTTTGTTTGATATCTATGGATCTTATTCGGTTAACTTAAGAAGGTAACTAGTCTTATACTAAATATTGCCTTTAGTTATTCAATTAGGGGTGTGAATTATTTTGATCTAAGTTCTTGAATTGAATCAATTAGTAAACGTGATTAGCCCTAATCCACTAATTAGGTCCACTACAATCAATTAAGAATTTTAGCAATTAGTTTTTAGGTTTGGGCATGTATTTCTTGAATTTTGCCTATCTTAATTTTTCTAGTCTTTAATCTTAGCGCTTCTTGTTTCCACATTATCCTCTTGTTTTTCATTCAAGTAACCAGATGCTTATCAGTATGCCATCCCCTGCATATATATGCATGATTGTTCTTGTCTATTCACATGTTACCAATGTGTAAAACCCTTCTTTCAAGTATGCCCATGCAGTTCCTTAAACTCCCATCAAGTCTATTCTTTTAGGTGTCTAGCATCCAACAAAGTCAATGATGCTAGGCCCAAAAATTTCAGAGGGGAAAACTCTAGGGTCATTAGCAAGATTGCCCTTTTCTTGGGATGGTGTTTGCCCCTCAAATTTGTGGTCTTTAATTTTTTTTCCCTTCAGCACTTTAAATAACAAAAACAGTGGCTGTAAATACACCCGACTCCAGCAAAAAAATATTGTTCGGCATAAGTTTATATTTTCGTATCATAATATAACTCAAGTTATGCCTTCAATTATGCCACTTAATTCCAACAGAGGCATAAGTTCAGTTTGGAACTCACAAGTTATGCCTTCAAAGGTATAACAAGTTATGTCGCTTAATTTTTACATAACTTATGCCTATGCCTCAATTTCAAAATCCACAAGTTAAACCGTGAAAGGCATAACTTAGTTCTTCCAGAGCTTATGCCGATAGAGGCGAAAATTCTCTAAACTTTGAGCAAATTAGGTAATACACAACTTATGCCGAGTGAATTAGGTACTACGCAGCTTATGCCGGATACCTTAATTCCCGCAAAACTTATGTCGTCCAAGGCCAAAGTTCTTTGAACTTATGTTGAGCGAAATTAGGTCATAGATAAGGATACTTTAGCCCACAAATTTTCATTGAATGAGCACTAGGGGAAAAATTAAAGACCACCGTATTGAGGGAAAAAATTAAAGACCACCCCGAAATCAGAGCAATCCGTGCAAAAAGTTCAAAACACTAACTGCTATATTGCAACATGAATAAGATGATTCCCTCCATGTCATAAAAGCGCAAAGCTAGTCAACTTTCTTTTCCTTGAAATGACTTGCTGATTACCTGTACTTTTGGAAGGAAAGTTCATAGATTCAAGGTACCATCTATTATCATTAACTTTAGAGAAAGACATACTTAAACCATTTCAAAGGTAAATTTTCCGTAGATTCTGGCGTATCAACTGATTAGATGATTTACTCTTAAGGAACATGTAATGGAAGTGTGTATGGAGCTACGAATCAGTTTTACACAAACAGCTAAACTTTGTCTTGCTCTCAACCAAACCAGAGAATTATAAGATGAAATAATTGAAATTGGAGCAATATCAAGACACTCTTGTTAAAAGTTTAAAATAGATTGTAAAAAAAAAGTAAAAATAATGCTATAAGGTCAAGTATTAGAGTATAATGTACATCAAGAACAAAGGAATTCTACCAACAGTCAATAAAAGAAAACTAACCATGGAGCCATTCTAAAGATGAGGACGCCGAAGTTGTCAATATAGTAAATGTATAAATAACCTCACCTGTATTAGGAAACAGAACAAATCTCAATGGCAGTATTCAAGTTGTCCAATGGAAGTAATTTGCTAACTAAAGTAAGTACAAAATAACACATTAGGTTGTAGCAATATCCTATACTTCACAAGTGCAGTATTTCAAATCCAAAAGATATGTACATAATTAATATAAATCTGCCGATTGTAATCTGGCTCACATGTAAAATAAGAAAAGGACACAAGACTAGTCATTGCCAAGATAATCAAACTTGTTCCAGAATCAATTTTGGATGCCATAAGAACATTAAAAAATAAACAGATCATGAATGAGACTGATGTTAATAATTGTGACTAGTAACACACTATTTGTCACCCTAAAAAAACAGTAATTCACCTTCATGATTCTTCCAAGAGTCAAAAAGGGCAGCAAACACCAGGGGCCGGGCATCCTTAAAATGTATGTAATAAGGTTGCTTTTTTGACCCATCCTTTTTCCACTCATAAAATCTGAAGAAAATTGCATCACTGAGAACCATTGATATTGCAATTGAGACAAATTCTGCTATTCTGACAACAAATGAGAAACTTACATGAAAGAAGCTTTGACTTCTCCAAAATGTGCTCTGAGTTTTTTTTTAAAATTGGTAACTTAATATGTGCTTTGATTTATAATAATTCTACTCAGTTTTTCTTTTGTTTTTTGGAAGGAAGCAAATTTAGGTAAGCTCCCATTCACTGGAAGTTATTGATGGCGTGACCTTTATCAAGAAGATCTCAGTTTTACAAGTCAGCTTTGTGAAAAGAAACAGATAAAAGCAGATTGGACATAGAAATGGATACTCTGATAGACTTGTATAGCTGAAGAAAAAACCTACCCCTCAACTGCAACCAGGCACCTATTCTTTGGGATAAGGCGGCGAAATGAAGCCTTCTCCTTTATTGTCTCAGACCGAGCATTAAACTGCAAACAACCATGGTCATATACTGTTATGTGTGGCCAAGACAGCAAGATGTTCAATCCATACATAAGTAACGCATTATGTGATCAAATCTAAGTGAGAAAATATCATTATATTGTAAATGGTTATATTCTAGATGTTCTATCCTCTTCCCTGAAAATAATTCTAACAATTCTTAATAAAATCAAACAAACTACACCAGATAATCTCTATTCTTTTTCTATTTCTCTTCTCAAACCCACTCCCATCACCCCACAGGTACTAGAAGCAGATGAAGACATTATGGCGTATTCAAACCGTCACTCATGCAGTAGTTCAACAAAGTGATATATTGACTAATTCCACAGCTAAAAGAAAAGTTACAAATTAGGAAATTATATGATATTTGACACTGAAATTCTACATCACTCTAAGCTTGATAGATTATTGAACAAACATACATTTATAGGAAAAATACAAGTTTAAACAAATGATAACTAGGAACAAAAATAACCAAAATATCAACAGACATAATCTTCCCAGTCAGGTGACTGGACTCCTAGGAGAGCAAAATGAGCAGGCCAAAAATCACCAGAAATTGTTGAGAAAAGTTTGATGGAAAATTTAGACGTCACCAAAGATAAAATCACTCTTTTACAGAAAAGATCAACAGATTGCCAATAGAAGTAGACACAGGTAGTGTGAAATGTGAAGCAAACACGAGATTTCAGCGCCTGCAGCTAAAATAAGTTCAAGAGTTTATTTGAAATTTTGATTTAAAAGCTATGAGGATGTGGTATCTTTATGCCCTGGAAAGTCTTCAACAAACAAAAATAAAAATATAGAACTGATTAAGGGGGCACTTGGTGCAGACACCATATCATATCAGACATGACGCTGAATAATCCACTGTTTGGTACATGGATTTAGGTTTCCTGTTGTCAAACACCATACCAAGCATTATTCAATATCTCAACAAGGGTGGTATTGTCAATTGGGGTACTAGAAATTCCTTATATTCAGCTAGGAATTGACTACTTTAGGGCTAAGAATTATAGCCTAACAATTACAACTCCATCCTACACCAAAGTGGTGTAGGCTCTCAATCCTACCTACAGTCTTTCCCTCTGCTACCTTCGACTTCCATTAATCATGAGGCAGCCCACTAAACCATAAAACTAAGACAAATCATAAACAGGGTGGAGCAGGTTAAAACAATTTTTTTAAAAACAATCTCAAATGAAAATTAATAAGTTTGTTGTTTAGAACTCATCAGGTTGAGGTATTTCGGTTTAAATATAAGAAGTTGTATGCAGGGCGGTGCGATGCAGGCGAAACAGCTTTAACTTTCAAAGTAATTAAAGGTACTTGTACATAAATCAGTGTTTCATTCAGTAAAACTTAAGTTCTTAGTTTCATAAATTTATAATTTTATTTATTTCATAAAGTATAGACCTTATTTTTAGCCTGTTTCCAAATATTTTGGAAGAATTTTTCAAGTAACGAAAACTTTAAGCTATACTTCCTGAATAAATTTACAGTGATAATGCAGTAAGATAAGTATTAAATATCACATCTTAGAATGTGACAAAGTATTCTACAAAGGCACTAATGAGAACACAAGTTAATCCACTTAGCAAACCAAAAAACAAGATCAATTTTTTATATAATATATCCTATTTTTATCACAATGAACCAAATCATAATCTCAATAGTGTATCAATAGTTATCCTCATACTTCACTCCTAATATCATCTTCAGTTTGTACCAATTTGACCCCTATAACTCATTAAATCTGTAATCAGTTCTGGACAAAATCAAAACAACTCTCAAAATGAAAATGAAAGAAGTGCTCAATCAGTGACAAATTTCCATTTACCATCCTGTAATGGTCAGGCTTTTCAGTTTTCTTAGTGAAGCTGGGAACAAGACCCCATTTCATGCAATGAAGAACAGCGCCTTCGTCGTTGGCCTCATCTTCTCTCCTTACCACTGGTACACTAAACCCCGGCGACACATTATACGACGGCCGATACCTAAAAATAAGTTCACACAATTTAATTTTCTAATATTTGGTTCAAAAACATCAATATTTTAGGAACATCTCATTAAACGGTTGAGATAATTTGAAAGCGGTTACCGGTTCATGTCAACATGCCGGACGCGGCGACCGTTGAGGTGACAAGCCCGAGGAATGTCATCGGGCCTGAGAGAACACCGAGCTCTTCCGCACATCAGTTAATCGGCGACTTGTGTTTTTGCTCTTCGTTTCGATTCGGTGCTGGAAGGGGTGAACAAGAGACCAAAAGGCGGGAAGAGAATAGGGAACCCATAAAGGATAATTTGGTAATTGTACGGAATGTGCAATTGGCTAATGGCCGTTTGATTAGAGTAGCAAACTACCTTCACTCTCAAGATTTGAGATCCTTCATTCCCAAATCCTCTCTTTGTCGGGAAAATAGGAAAGTGTTGTAAAATATTCTTAAATTTTTGAACTCGTAATTTCAAAGTGAATTTTGACTTCTAAATCATTAGGCAAAGTTCTAATTTTATATTTAAGGGAATTTGTAGCTTAACTCGGGTCATATTATTTTTTCGAATTCAATTTTCTTATATTTTTATACTATCTTGTGCTCACATGATATTTTCAATCAGTTAAACTGACGAAATTTATTGGTGACCATCTAAAATTGACATTAACTTTCACTTAAATATTTCAACTAGGATTTGTTCATTTTAGACACCTATATTAAGGCATCGTTGTATCATTTTGACACTTTTTAAATATTGAGCAAAAATCTTAAAGAAAGTGTAACACATTCGCCAATAATGTATAAGAATGAAAAAATAAATAAAGACATGTGACATATACTAAAAATAAGTATTAAAAAGATATTGTGAATAAAAAATTATTTTTAAACTATTTAGTTAATTACTTAGAAAAAAGTCATATTTCAATAATTTAAAAAAAAAAACAAAAAAAAAATTGCAATAGCCTCTTTCTTTTTCTTTTCACCATTTTCACATCTCCTCTTCCTTTAACCACCATCACCCTTTATTTGTCTCCATTAATGAAAACCCTGTAATTCTCCACTGCAACAATCCCTCCTCTCGTCTTTCTCTTTGTTGAACGTTCACCTCCCTCCTTCCCACTTTTTTCTCTCCACACACTTTACTCATCATCTTCCTTTTTATTCAGATTGATGTCGATATATACAAGAAGAGGAGGTTGTTGAAGATGACGGAATGTAGTTTGAAATTGTGATGAAAAGAGATGAAAGAAAAGACAGATCTAAAACAATTATAAAAAATAAAACGAAAAAGGGTCAAAATGTTCTTAAACTATGTGAAATGAACTAAAATGTCCTCCGTTTATGGTTTGATCTAAAATGTCTTTGCTGTCAATAATGCCCTTACTGTTACTTAATGGGTCAAAAATATCATTTTTTAAAATTATTTAATTTTTTTTCACACATTCTTTTTCTAATCATACTTTTTTAATTAGCAAATATTTATCCTACTTCAATTCGGAAAAAAATAAAAATAAAAATATTTCTTATTTTATTATAATTATTTTTATCGTTATATAAATAAAAAATAATGATGGATTTACTATGATCTTATATATATGGATGACATATACTATTTGTTAAAAGGGTACATGAAGTTATTTTATTTTAATTGATAAAATGAGATTAAGAAGAAAAAAATCATTTCCTTCATTTTTATTAGTTAAAATGATTTTAAAAGAAAGAAAACAAGAATAGGGTTCTTTAATAATATTTTTATTAGGAACGGGATGTGTTTAAAAAGAAAACACATATATATTTATTCGAAAAAAGGCATTTTTGACCCATTTAGTAACTATAGGGGCATTTATGGACCAAACTATCAACGTCAAAGGCATTTTTGGACCAAAGTACTGACAACAAGGACATTTTTTAGCCAAATTATAAACTAAGGGTATTTTTGTTCATTTTCACATAGTTTAAGGGCATTTTTTACCCTATTTCGAAAACAAAAAACATGTTCAAAAGAGAAAAAAACGCAAATTAAGTGAAGATGATGAAAAAGATGTAGAGAAGAAGAAAGATGATGAATTCAATCTTTGATAATGTCCATGACTCCATTTTTTCTAACATAGTTCTTTTTTATATAAAACTCCAAAAAAAATTATAATAATTTTGTGTATGAGTTATGAAATTTGATGTTTCTAAGTGATGGTTAAAAGTTTTTTTTGTGTGTTTTTTTTGTTTTGGTTGTTGGTAACGAAGAGGTTGTAGGATTTTATGGTAAAAAATACTGAGAAGAATTTTTCTGCGATTGTTGGTATTCAACTGGTGGTAACTGATTTTTGTTTGGAAAGGTGAAAAAGATGGGAGTATATTTTCAAGTATTTGCATTTTCTTTTAGTTAAATGAAAAAATAATGTATATTTTTGCAAAATTCAAGATTTTCACGCGCACAAAAAGTGTCAAAATCACACAACAGAACGTTACTATGAGTGTCTAAAATGAACAAAACTTTGATTGAAATGTCTAAGTGAAAGTTGGTGCCAACATTAGGTGGCCACCGATGGATTCCGCCAATTAAAATTGATTGAGTGTATAACACGCGCCACCACGTGTGTAAATATTTTTTAATTATTTTTATTTTTTTCTAAAAAAAGAACTTCTTATTTTTTTTATTTTGTATTGACATAAGTAGCAAAAACACACATAAACTATCTCCTTTTTTTAGCTTCATACTCAAATTATTGGGAGTATGAATTTCACACATAAACAATCACTGGTGATACATATACATATACATATACATATAATCATTTGATGAATTATAAGTGTAAACATTTCATCCTTTGATGAATTAAAAGTGTCTATGTCATCACTTCACAATTCATTTAACTCTTAATAAGAGATTGCATGTATATATCTATGTTATTTTCATCTTTTCCTTGTTAGTTGTCTTTTTATCCTCTTGAGTGTGTTATTTTTTTGACATGTTCTCCAAGTGTAAACCCAACATCCTTGCATATCATGACCTTGAAGTTTACAGTGAGCCGAACAGAATCAACGATCTAGATAGAAGGGTCGTTCACTCTCTATTCTTTGAGAGGTTGTTTGCGATGGTAGCATTAGCTAGACAATCAAGACAGGTTGAACAAATTCAGTCCTAGGGTGAAGATTACCTAAAAAACTAGCGTAGCTATGGGACTCTTGCTAGTATTGATCTTCTGGATTAGTAATGATGGTGGCTCTTTGATAATTCTATAGTGTGTGCAATACTTTGGAAGATAGTCATATTGAATTCTCTATCATTTGGATTTCTCTATGCTATGTCCTCTTCTATACAATTTATTTGAATTCTCTTAGGTGGTATTTTTAGTAGACCGACTTTCACTTTCACCCGAGCACAACTAGGTCTAGTTAGATTATTTGTGGCTTTGGCAATCACTAGGGCTAATTGTAACACTTCGGAAATTAGAAGGTCAAAAGAAAAGGAAAGCTCTGATTTTTTGGCACTGAAGCAGGTTCTACGAGTCCTTTCTACAGACCGTACCGTAGGAAGTTCTACAGTCCGTAGGAAGAGAGTCATAGATTTCGAGATGAATTTTTGGAATTTTAAGTTTCTGAAGTTTGACCTACGAATGAACATGACGGGTCGTATGATGTTTGACGGATCGTAGAATGTTTGACGGGTCGTAGATGGGTTTCGTAGAAAGGTTTCATACTTGGTGAAATTTTGGACTAAAAGTTAAGAACTACGAATGGGGTCTACGGACCGTAGGAAAGTCGACGACTCGTACAAAGGTTTCATGAGAAGTAAGGTGAATTTGGGTTTCTAAAGTTGGTTCTACGGTTGACTAGTATGGATTGTAGGTCCAAACCGTAGGGTTGTCTGACAGTTATTTCTTAAGAGTATTTGTGTCATGCCCCGAGCCTACACCCTGGGCGGGACTGGAACTCGAAGACCATTGCTGGCCTCAAGCGAACCCTTAGCCTGACTTACTAACTCAGCGGAAAACTTAACTCATCACATACATATTTATGAAATAACTAGAATATTATAAAGGAACATTCAACTCGCCTTTAAGGAAAACTCAAGTCTTTAACATATGAAATGAAAAGTAAAGACAACTGAATTAACTAACTGACTGTTTGTCTGTCTATGAAGCCTCTAAACAACTGAGATGGATGTCGGGACACGCCCACGACATCCTAATGAACTAATACTAAAAACTGAAAACAATGAAAAGGAGTCCTCTGGAATGCGAAGAGGCTCACCAACAGACTCTGAACTGCTCACTGGATCAACGATGCGCCGGATGCCGACCCTAGTTACCTGTGTCTACATCATAATAAGATGCAGGCCAACTGGCATTAGTACATTGAATGTACGAGTATGCGAGTCGGAATGCTAAAACAACATAGGCTTGAAAGGGAATTAAAAGAAACACTTACCTTGGCTCTTCTCAACTCATGAATACATAACTGAACTCATTTCAATATAGAGCAGATTTAAAACAAGTGCAATATAAAGAAAAGTTATTTAAAACATGATGTCAACTCTGTGTATATACAAGGATACAACATAAACTCTGAAATGTATGTAAAAATACAATAACTTACTCTGGGAGTTTCTCTAACCGAAAACCATCACTATGAGCCTATGTGATGGTGCAATGTTTGACCTCACGTTGCCAAGGACCGTCCTATTCCTTCCCATCGGTATAAAACGTGAGCTACTAAGTTGATCCACTAGTCTATGCTAAAAAGCACTAAGGAATCATCTAAAAAGTATGATCCTTTTCTGCCCATGATGGCTACATGGTTTATGAGGGCTTGAGTTAATATGAATTCGCGTCCCCATATCGGTGCTCAATACTACTCCCAAAATATACTTAGCTCATATGTTTTTAAAACAACTTCGTCTCTAGTTTGAGATAATTGCTTAATCTTAGCTTACAAAACTCTCTTGGAATCAATGTTCCCTTTTGCTGTTCAAAACTCTTTTGGAAATCTCAGTTTCCTCTCATCTTTAATGTGAAAACATTTACTCTTGGAAATACTTAGTTCCCATATATCATTTTAAATAAAATGAACTTTACTCTTACTCTTTACTCAACTTCAAAACTTAAGTCTTAAAACAAAGTTAAAAAGCATTTGCAAAAGACTTCTTGAAAAGGCTCTGAGAACTTTCTAGACTTGACTGTTGACTTTCCTTGAATTGAATTTATGGATTCAAGGTTATGATTCATGTTTATGGATGATTTATAGTAGAAGTCATTTAGAGTAGTTAGAATCAATGGAAAGTGGTAGGATACTTTAAAATAACTTAAGTAGGCTAAACGACGAAAACTAGTGAAAAACGTCGATCC